TGTGTTACGCATACCTGCCTAACCATCGCCTTCTTCTACGAATGGCGATGTTAGCTGACATAGGATGGATCACGTTGGAAGACAGCTAGTGGTGGTCAAATCAAAACATGGCTTCATCATTCAATAAAATGCACGACATAAGCATAAAACTTGGGCACTGTGGTAGAGTACAACTCCATTATGGATAAGATTTTATTTTGATAAATCACACAGTGTTACATCTACAGTAATATTAACTGATGACCACGTTTCGAGCACAAATTATTGCCGCTCATAATCATATCAAGTTACTCACACAACTTTTTGCTACATTTATATACATGTGTGGAACTCACTAGATATTTGAATAAAAATCAGTATGGGATAATGCACATTCAGAAATAATAATATGAGTGTTATTGATCAAATAGAATCAGATGATAAATAAGACGAGTGTTCTTATAATCAAAATAAGCAACTTGTTAGAATGTTATGATGTACGTGAAGTGAAATGGAATTTTAAGATTATTTATTACCCTCTTCTGATTTCACTGGTGGTAATAATATCTTCCATATTTCTGGTATTTGCATTGAGTCATTCCCATTGCATCTGTTGTGTTCATTGGAGACTCGATGAACCAGGATGGATTCAGTAATCAATCTCTCTCTCCACCCACCTACATTACTTTTTAGAATCTTAACCCTCTCACACCCTATTGTGTGGTTGTGTGTTAATGCATGCAGTGCAATTGCTGAGCTTTTTTCTAAATTACTTATCTTCTCTGGGTCAACCATTCTTACCTTAGCTAAATTATTATGTTCCAACAATCTGATTACTCCCAACCTACTAGTTTGACCTATGTAGTTGACCTAACGCACAGTCATTGCAGGGTATTTTGTAAATTATATTATTTTGTTTAATTGGGTCAACTGGGTCCTTTAACCTATAGAGCTTGTCTCTGAGTGAGTTTGTAGGTTTGAATGACACCCTAATTCCTGCTTTATTTAGAATCCTACGTAGGGTCTCAGATGTCCCCTCCTTATATGATATAACAGTAGATGACTTATATTCTCTCTTATTTATGTTATCATTACTAGTTTCATAATTATTTTTATTTTTATTTTGGCTGTTTTCGGTCTTCCTAATGAATTTTATGGGATAGTTATTTAACACCAATGCCTCCTTTATCCTTTTCATTTCATCATTTAGGTCTTTTCTTGTGCTACTTGGTGCTATAGTTCGGTTTGTTAGACACCTAACTGAGCCTGCCTTCAGAAACAGATAACGGATGAGATGAATTAAAGTCTAAATATCTATTAGAAGGCGTTGGTTTTTTATAAACGCTAGTGTGCGGTTCACCTTCTTCTATTCGTTTTATTTTACAATCTAACACTACAGCTAATTCGCCTTGTTCATTTTCCGATTCAAATGTGAATTGTATTCCCTCTACTAGTGAGTTTAAATGTGTCAAGAAGCTAGAGATATGTTCTGTTTTTAACACTGTGTGTGAAAGTGTCATCCACTCTGTGCAGAGTTCTCAGTTGAAACCAGTCAGTAATCAAGTACCAGTGGGCTATGTATATATATATATATATATATTGCATGAGGGCCGGATAACCCATTCTGCACCACGGCTTCCTACCGATTGCCTCCAACCATCTAATATCAACAAATCAAAGTTCATTTCCTACTGAAACCTTCTATGAAGATTTCATCTAGAAGGAGGAAAACGAAAACTCCCGAATTAAATCAATCAGTTGTGAGAACACAACTGAGTTCAAAATCCAGGAAGTTCATTCCATACTGAATCACTCACTACTAATCCCTAATGGATTGATATACAAATATATGCATTTGTAGGAATTTTATCAATCTCACAACTGAGGAGTCCCAAACCTGGACGAAATAGTTGTACTCAGCCTCCTCTTGTTTAAATTAGTTTTCTAAATAATATTGTGGTGAGAGCGGTCTACTAGCCAAGTGGTGGACAGTAATTGAGGTCAATGTTTATGTATCAAATATTAGTCATGTTGTGGTGAGAGATGGTTGCTGGCCAAATTGGTTGACAGTAATTGAGGTCAAAGGTCAAGGTGGACAGGCGGTTACAGTTAACATATAGATGAACTGACACAGCCACAAGAGATGCAAGGTTAACTTTGTGTGAGAAACAACCAATCAACAGACTGTATTTTCTACTAACATTGACCTACAATAATGTACATAAAAATCTATAAATACGTGTTGATTTTTCGTAATAAACGATCTGTTGCCTGGCCCTTGTCTTCTGTTGTTACAATATCACTTTATTGTGAAACCTACTTTGAAGTTATCCACTTTGTTTAATTAATCAAATAAAATGATGGATGGAAAGTATTTTTTACTTAGTTCAATGAAATCAAAACATAGCGCGGCAATGGAGTAACCACTAGGATCCCTTTTAAACCGACATTTTCCTTGCGAAACGAGAAAAAAGGGCCTTTGAAAGACGAAAATTTATGAACTTGAATTCTGTTGTCGGCACATGGATGATACATTTTCGATTATGAAAAATGAGGATGAAGCGAAGAACATCCTGCCTGGAAAAATTTAACGATGTTCATCCTGCCATAAATTTTACTATTGAGAAGGAGAAAAAGACCCTAGTATTTCATTTCTAGACATCCTTATGACTGGAAAAGAGGACGGCACAATAAGAAGAAATGTATATAGAAAACCAACATCAACTGACTGTCAGTATAATCATTTTTTTCAGCTTCGTGCCTTTGAAATACAAACACAATCTGATAAAGTGCTTGCTTCACAGAGCAAGAACAATCTGCTCGGATGAATGTCTTGATGAGAGACTTAATAATATTTAATGGTTGCTGATTGAGAGCGGTTATCCAGAAAAGTTTATTGATAAGAATATGAATCTAAAATCTAAGCAGCCCAAGGTACCAACAGTTCCTAAAAAGGCCTTATTTTTACAAATTCAGTTCCTGGGGGATAACATCAGCAAGATATTAACACAACGCCTAAGGAATATGGCAGTAAAAACACCATTCCCTGATGCTGAATTACGCTGTGTCTCCAAAGCTACCCTATTTTACATTCGGGAGTAAAAGATGAACTGCGCTAATTCGCCTCTTCCATGTGTATCTATCTACTAATTTAACTGCTCCTATGAAGTGAGCCAGTTATATAGGCCGTACAAAATAGGCGTGTCTATCGTCGGATTTTCGAACATCACCCTGAGTGGTTAAGCAAAAGACAAACACAATCCACTCGTAGCGCTATTCTATCTATCTCATCTTGTGGATACTGAACACAAGATTGATGTCAACGAGGCGACTTTCAGCGTCATTTACCGCATACCAATAAATCTTAACTTCGCCTTAACAGTTCGACTACTAAATATTGCTGAGGCTGGTTGTTGGGATCCACATTAAAAAGCCTAATTTATGTGTCCAAAAGAAGCTGGTTGATTCAGACATTGTCCTTACCTTGATCATCTAGGTTCTAATGATACTCAATTTTTTGTAGAAATTTCCTTAATTTTAACTGATATTCCATTTGCTATTATATCTTTATTATTGTTGTTAAATTTTATGCATCTTTAATGAGCTGTAATTCGCAATTAGTAGTGTTCTCTGAGCTGGTTGGTTGATTTGCGAAGCTTTCGTCGTCCTTCTGGACAACATCTTCAGCGCCATATTTAGCACAAAGTGAAATGATTTAAATTTCTTCATGAGTGATAGAATTGCGTCTCCTCGTAACTATCTTTACATTTGTATTGACCATTTTCTATTGACTTGAATTTTAAACTTTTTGGTCACCTGATTTACTTTTTATTAGTTGGTATATTTCATCTATATTAACGTGTTTGTTAATTGCATTTTCGCTTGAGTACCAGGCTTCTAGGAATTCTCTGGCACTTTTGGTGTTTCCTCTGTCTAACATTTCGACATGATCCCAATCAAACTGATGTCCATAATTGTCTATATGCATTGATACTGAAGAATATATATAGTGTCTTTTCACGGCTGATTTGTGTTCTTGGATTCTGATTCGAAGGGGACGCCCACTTTGACCGATGTTATGCCTGTTGCAGTTCATTTTTTAAATGGTATTAATTTTATCTTCTTTTTCTGTTGGACCTTTCGGTTTGTACAGTATCGAATTAAATGATTTGAATGGCTTGTGTACTATGTTTATTTCAAACTGTTTCAATATTTTAGCTGTTATTTCAGAGATATTTTATATATATATGATAGGAGGAATGTTCTGGTGGTCTTTGATGATGGTTTCTTGTTGGTGTTTTGATTCGACTTTAAACACTTTTTGATGAAACTGTGAGGATATCCATTCTTTTTGAAGACCCTTAGTAGGTATTTTTCCTCCATTCTCTTCAACACAGGAGTGCTACAGTGTGTTTGAACTCTTTTAAACAATGTCTTCACACAGTTTCTTTTGTGAGTAATTGGGTTGTCACCAGTATAGTTGAGTATTTGATCTGTGTGCGTTGATTTTCAATATACTTGTGTTTCTAAATTTCCTGTGTTAATTGTAATTCCATCGTGATCTTATTTTACAAATCGATATTATTTAAAAAACACCAAGGTATTGTTATTGACTACTATTCTAGAATATTCTATGTATGTAAACATACAGATATCCAATTGTAGAGCCAGAAGAGGAAATTATCGAAAAGGATATTTTTTGCTCAATTGTTTTGTGTTTTATACATGCCTTAATGCATATTTTCGCCAAATTGAAATCAAAACTAATTGAACATTTAAGACAGCCTGTATATTATAAAATTACAAATATTTATAAGTATATACATTCATACGTAAAAACGATGGTTTTTAAATCACAACAAATGCTGTGTTTACATATGTCTCTCTGTTATATCACTGCACATTTATGACCGTGTTGTTCCATGTGTACATTCTAGCTAGCTGAATATATATATATATATATTCACGATAACATAGAAATCAATGAATATCACAATTTCAAACTAGTGCTCAAGATTATTCGTAAAACAAATTTCGCGCACATTAGTATTTCGCGCCTAAATTAATGTGAGATTGTACACTTAGGAAAAAGAATTATTATCATTAATATTTTCTAATATAAATGAAGGTAAAAGTTAATAATTGTATAAAGACTAAAGTTAATTTATAAGAGGAATTCATTTGTCTTATTGCTGAATTACAACCATCTCTATCTTGACAATAGCAAACTTCTTTATAGATACCTTGTTCTTCAAACCAATAACGACAACTCCATGCTAATCCTGTTTAGCATAAGGAAATAAATGAAAGAAAGGAAGAATTAGATTAGAAGATTATTTAGACGTGGTTAGTGCATACTACTTATATATAAATATATATACCATTCAAATGAACCGGTAATGTTTGCTAGTCAGCCCGCCAGCTAGATAAAAGTGATCTAAACGCCGGGCGGCTGTTTCGCTCGTTAAATATGATAATAATAATAATTCTCAACTTGTTACGAAAGTTTGAAGGTGTCAGTTTATATTACAATCCGAAAGAGGAACAAAATTGTACAGGATTAAAAATACAGTTGCAGCGAAGAAAATGTTCTTTCCGGCGAAGTCACCGTCAACTAGGCTGTACATTCATGTATTTATGATAAATGAGTGGGAAAGTTTTAGAATAATTTCCGATCAAGGGTCAGATTCATAAAATTACAATTAGGAATTAAAATGCCATAATAAACAGGGGGGTAACAGATAAAAATCAAACAAAGTAGCATCATGATTACTGAGAAAATTGACATATTGTGCAATTGGGGGTTAGAAATGTAGAAATAAAAATAGACAGGATGTTTGGATAACAAAATCTAGTGGGATCATAACTAATGTGACGAACAATTGTATATGCAATCAAGGATTAAATATGTATAAATAATAAAATGACAAAAAAGACAAGAAGTTCGAATATGAAAATATGGTAGTGTAAATAGGGATTATGAAAAACTTAAAATAACATGAATAAACAGGAAGTTTGGCTAAGAAAGTCAATGGGATAGCCACTATTAGAAGAATTACCTGTTTATGTTGGCCACGGTAGGGACAAGGGTTGGACGTATTTCTTTTGTATACATAGCGTGGATTTGAGATTTTGGATGGCTAGTGCCTTGGTTACGCCCAGATTCCTTGATTTTACTCCCTTTGATAGGTTTGATCGATTCTTGTATATGATTTTGAAGGATTTTTCTAATGGCGTTGAATGTCCTGAATTGACCAGATGTTCTTTCACTGAACTAAATACCCTTTTTCGTTCTCCTTTTACTAGCTAGGCTGGATAGTGTTCACGAGTGCGTTTTTCAAGTTGGAACATGGTGTGGCAGATGTACTCAGCTCCCCAAGAGCAAGTAAACTGGTATATGCACACTGAAGTGGCCCAATGAGACAGTTTGTCTTTCGCGTTCTGGTTGGACAGTTTCTTGCAGGAAAACGTTAGTCGTAAGCTCGCGGCGTAGTATGTCTTCCTCAGAGATTTGCAGAGGCGTTTAAAAAGGATTTCTGCTTCAATGTCACCTTTGAATTCTAGATTAAGCAGAAGTATCTTCTCTGGGACGGATTGAACTTGTTCGGAAGTCTTCTTTGATTTGAGGTTTTTGTGTAAGAACCTGGTTGAAAAACTGTTTTCCATCAGGGTCCTTCGGAGATTACTCAGTTCTTCGTCAATCTTTTCCTCGCTGCATATCTTCCGAATCCTCGAGGAAAGAGTGTATATCAGGTTCCTCTTTCTGCTTAGGGGAAGGAAGCTTTGAAAGTTGATGAATTGCCCATTCCATGTAGGCTTTTTGTATATGAACCTTTTCAGAGAGTTGCTGGCATATCTTGTCAGATGGACGTCGAGGAAGTGGAACATTCCGTCGGATTCGGCTTCAAGAGTAAAGTCGATGTTTTAGTGGGCATTGTTGAATGTTTGAAGTAAGCACAGGATTAGTAAATAGTTTTTATAGAATACAAGTATGAATGTGGTGAGCATGGAAACAAAATGAGATAATGACTTTTTATAACTGAAATGGACAAAGATGAAGGGAATTAAAAGAAAACAAAACAAAAAACACACGAAAACTAAGGAGTCAAACCGAATCAGATCCATGATAAATGTAGAGGTTGGACTAGTTTCTTTTGAACACATAACTCTGGCTTTTCGATGCATATGGCGAGTAATTCTGAAGTACAAAGAAGTTGGGAACACACTGTCTATGGTAGATTTTTGTTTATTCTGTAACTGATTCTGAACGTAATGAGTCAGTTGAGATGGTGTGTTGATGAGGTGTTAAATTATGTCACTTCTGATTGAACCAATACCTCCCCTTTGCTGTCATGGTGGATAATGTTCTCTAACATGATTTGATAACCTCGCCTAGATTACTAGGTCACTAGTATTCTAGCCGGTCCCAAGCCCGGATAAAGAGGGAGGGTTGGGGCGTGGTGCTAGCAACTCCACCCCCAAAACTTAACCAAATTGCTACTAAAACTTCAACGCACAAATATATTCAAAATTCTAAAATTACAAATAGTGACCTTATTTTTCGCTGGAATCGGGGAAGTGAAATGACGCGGGCTGGTGAAAGCCTTCGGGAAGCCAGTCAGCCGATGTGCCTGCCTTCTTTCGATGAAAGCGAAAATAAGGATGGGGACGTGGAATGTTCGTACAATGTACGAAGCTGGGAAGGCTGCTCAGGTAGCCGCAGAAATGAGGAGATATAGAATAGAAGTGTTGGGAATCTGCGAGAGCAGATGGAACGGATGTGGAAGGAGCCAACTATCAACTGGAGAGACAATAATCTACTCCGGTCACCCAGAGGACAATCACGAGCACACCGAGGGAGTAGCCATCATGATGTCACCAACAGCGGCTAAAGCTCTCATGCAGTGGGAACCAATCTCCTCCAGGATAATGACAGCCAGGTTCAACTCAAAAGGAAAAAAGGTTACAATCATTCAGTGCTACGCGCCTACAAACGCCTCAGAACATGAGAAGAAGGAGGATTTCTACAGTCAACTACAAACAGTAATGGACAACGTCCCAAAGAGCGATATCAAAATCCTGATGGGCGACATGAATGCGAAACTGGGAGGAGACAATACAGGAAGAGAACTCACCATGGGTCGTGAGGCCCTCGGTGAAATGAACGAAAATGGCGAACTCTTCTCAGACTTCTGCGCCTTCAATGATTTGGTGATTGGTGGCAGTGTGTTCAAACACAGGGATATACACAAGGCAACATGGATTTCACCAGATGGACACACCAAAAACCAGATAGACTTCATTTCAATCTCAAGGAAGTGGAGACCGAGCCTACTGGACACAAGATCGAGGAGAGGAGCAGATGTGGGTTCAGACCACTATCTGGTACAAGGGACTTTCAAGGTGAAGCTGAAAGCCTCGAGGATACCTGGGGATAGGCCACAATGCAAGTTCAACACTCACAAACTGAAGGACACAATCACACAGGACATTTTCACTGCAACTGTCAGAGCAAAGCAGGAAACACTACGTGGCACCACTGAGGAATCATCCGTGGAAGACCATAGGAACTCCCTGAAGGTAATTTTTAACGAAACGTGCTCAACGGTTTTAGGAAGAAAGAAGAAACAAGACAAGGAATGGCTCTCAACAGACACTTGGAAACTAATAGAGGAGAGGAGAAAAGTGAAAGAGAAAATGATTCAATGCAAAGATGGACAAGAGAAAGAGACGCTGAACTCAACTTACACAGCACTGGACAAAGAAGTGAAGAAGAGTGCCAGGAAGGACAAAAGACAATTCTACGACAACCTGGCTACTGAAGCTGAGAAGGCAGCAGGCAAAAGGGACCTGAGGACACTATATCAGATAACCAAGTCTCTATCCGGGAAGAGATCAACACAAGTGAAACCTATAAAAGACAGCCAAGGGAACCCAATTACCAAAGAAGAAAGACAGATTAAACAATGGGCGGACCACTTCAAAGGACTCTTGAACCGACCACCACCTACAACCCGTCCAGTAATACCAACAACAGCACGTACACAACTGCAAGTTGACACCAATCCTCCAACGAAAACTGAAGTCATGAATGCAATCAAGCTTCTGAAAGCTGGAAAAGCAGCTGGACCAGATGGAATACCCCCGGAAGCACTGAAAGCGGACCCAGAAACGACGGCAGATATGCTGACTCCATTATTGCAAAAGATCTGGAAAGAGGGAAAGGTGCCTACTGACTGGAGGAAAGGTTACCTGGTGAAACTACCAAAGAAGGGCGACCTGGGACTCTGCAAGAACTGGCGAGGAATCATGCTCCTGTCGACGCCAAGTAAAATCCTGAGTCGCATCATCCTGGAGAGAATCAAGGACGCGCTGGATACAGAACTCCGACCAGAACAAGCTGGATTCAGGAAAGGCAAATCATGTTCTGACCAAATTGCAACTCTACGCATTATCATCGAACAAAGCATGGAATGGCAATCAAATCTCTACCTCAACTTCATAGACTTTGAGAAGGCCTTCGACAGCGTTGACCGCGAAGTAATTTGGAAACTACTCGAGTACTACGGCGTACCGCAAATATTCATCAACCTTATTCAACAACTGTACGACAACGGCACATGTCAAGTGATCCACAACGGAAAACTCAGCGAAGCGTTTGGAGTAAACACAGGAGTCAGACAAGGGTGCTTATTATCACCAATGATATTCCTAATTGTGGTGGACTGGATTATGCGTCAGACAGTGGGAAACGAGAAGACAGGGATATCCTGGACCGACGTGAAGAACCTAGAAGACCTGGATTTTGCGGATGATTTATGTTTGATGTCACACAAAATCGAAGACTTACAAGCAAAAACCGACAAACTGGTCGAAGAAGCAGCAAAGACAGGACTCCAGGTGAACATAGACAAGACGGAGGTTATGAAAATAACCAACCAACAACAGCAGCAACATCCAGTGCCAATCACCATCAACGGGAGGGATTTGAAAGAGGTTACTTCTTTCACTTATCTGGGGAGCATTGTCTCAACCACAGGAGGAACGGACGAGGATGTCAAATCGAGAATCGGGAAGGCGAGAAACACATTCATCAACCTGAAACCAATCTGGAAATCTTCGTCACTCACCATCAACAACAAAATTCGGATTTTCAATACAAACGTCAAGTCAATTTTGCTTTACGGATCAGAAACTTGGCGGGTCACCAAGAATATTTTCAACAGGTTGCAGACCTTTATCAACAACTGTCTTCGCTCCATACTGAAGATTAGATGGCCGGAAAGAATCACAAACAAGAAGCTATGGGAACAAACGAAACAGGAACCGATCGCCCAACAAATATGCAGGAGGAAGTGGAGATGGATTGGACACTCGCTGAGGAGGCCGTTGAGTGACATCGCGCGTCAAGCCCTCGAGTGGAACCCGAAAGGGAAGCGGCGAGTGGGACGTCCAAGGGTGACATGGAGGAGATCGTGTGAGGAGGAGATGAAACAGTATGGAATAACATGGACGCAAGTGAAAAGAACAGCAGAAGACAGAAGCAAGTGGAGACGTGCAGTTGAAGCCCTATGTTCCACTAGGAACCCAAGGGAACAATAATAATAATAGTAACATGATTTGATAGGACCTGCATAGAATGATCTATGTAATTATCTCCGTAAGAGCAGGTGAGCTGATATATGCAAATTGGAGTGGTCATATACGGAAGTTTATCCTTCATATTGCTTAGAAGCAGTGGGCGGTTAGAGAATATCACTCTTCTTCTTATCATTATTATCTCAATTTGTTTCCATGCTCATCATGTTAACAGTTGTATTTGTTTAAAAGAAATTATTTTACATATAACGCAACTATTTCCTAATCCTTAATACTTTTGTTTCTATTCACCCTTGTAATCCACATACTTACACCTTCGAACTTCCATATCAAGTTGACAGTTATTATCACCTTTAACCACCTTCGTTACTACGTGGGATTAAATAGTGCTTGTATCTATGTCAACTTATGTATATCAATGCGATTGTACAGCTGCTTTTAAGGATTAAATCGCCAAAAAGACAGATATGTTTGATGAACTTCTTGTTCTTTTCCCTCTAATGTCCTGATGGATATTTTCCAGGAATTCAATCTATTTTCTTCGTCATACTTGTCAGTCAACAGTTTCACTGGTTTATTCCCTGAATTCTTCTGTAACTTGTCATCCTTTCTGGCTTTCTGATCTCCAGTACTGTGACGATAGCTGTTGATGAAAGTTTATCATAGTCACTGAGTTCTAAGGCGTGTTCCAAGTCACTGAACAGTATGTACATATATACATATATACCAAGTAAAATACTAAGTCGCGTCATCGCGCAGAGAATAAAAGATGCACTCGATGCAGAAACCCATCGCGAACAAGTTGGATTAAGGAAAGGCAAATCGTATGCTGGTCAAATTAAAACAAAACTCTACGCATTATCATCGAACAGGACACAGAATGTAAGTCAAATATCCCCATACCGCAATTTCATCGACTTCGGAAAGGTCTTCAACAGCTCAGAGTTGATCGCAAAGTAGTTTTGAAATTAAATCAGCTCTATGGAGTACAGTACTCCAAATCTTTATGAGCCTTACTTGACAGCTATATGACAATGCTACGAATCAAGTCATTCTCAACGGAAAACTCGGTGAGACCTGTGAGGTGAATAGAGAAGTAAGATAAGGCTTCCTGTCCGCATTCACCGGTGATATTCTCAATTAGGGTGGACTGGATTATGCGTCAGACTGTGTGTGTGGGGAATAAGAAGACAAGAATATGTTGACCTGATAAGAAGATTCTAGAAGATCTGGATTTCACAGATGATTTATGTCTAATGTCATACAAACTCAAAGATCCGCAGGGCAAAATCAGCAAACTGGGAGATGAGGCAAGTGGCGAAGACAGGACTTCAAGTAAACATAGAGAAGACGGAGGTGATGACGATAACCAACCAACTAGCAACAACAAGCACAAATTACTCTCAATGGGAGAAATTTGAAAGAGGTCACTTACTTCCTTCATTTATCTAGGCAGCCGCCATCGTTTCAACCATACGCGACAGTACACATGATAACGTCAAAAGCTTCATTGCTCTGAAGTTGGTTTGGAAATCTTCTACACTCAGCACTCAGTACAAAATTTGGATTTTAAGCACCACTGGTAAGTCAATCACTGCTCCTATATGGGTTAGAGACTTGGTGCACGAGTCCACAAAAGCATTTTGAACAGGTCAATCCAGACTTTTATCAACATCTGCCTTCGCTCCACACTCAACACCAACAAGCTAGAAAGATGTAGCAAAAAGAAACTCTGGGTACAAACCGACAAGCGAGAACTGATCGCTGAACAAAGACGGAGAAGAAAATGTGGACTGATGGATCAGACACACATTGAGAAGACCATCGAATGACATCGTGCACCATAGGTGGGTTGGAACCAGAATGAGAAACGACGAGTTGGATGTGGGTCGGTAAAAGAGTGACATGGAGGAGGTCGTGTGAGGAGGAGATCAACGACTACGCGCAATCGCGGGCCTAGATGAAGAGGAGAGCAGACGTGCTGTTGAAGCCCTATGTTCCACTCAGAACCCAAGGGAACAATGGCAAATCATGTGCTGATTAAATTGAAATTTAACACATCGTCATCAAACAGAGTATAGAATAAAAATCAAAGCTCCCTCTACCTCAATTTCATTGACTTTGAAAAGGCCTTCAACAGCTCAGAGTTGACCGTGAAGTAATTTGGAAATTACTTCAACACAACGGTATGCAGTGCTCCAAGCTTTATGAACCTTATTCAACAGCTGGCTACTATATGACAATGCCAAGTGTCCGGTGATCCATGAAGGAAAACTCGATAGAGAGTGTAAAGCGAAGCCAGAAGTAAGACAAAACTGCGTGTCTGCAATTATTGTAGTGGACTAGATTATGCGTCAGACTGTGCACAGGGAGTGAGAAGACAGGAATACGCTGGACTATTAATAAGAAGATTTTAGAAGGTCTGGACTTTGTATCTGATCTATGTTGAATGTCACATAAATTCGAACACTTGCTGGCAAAAACCAACAAACTGGAGGATGAGGCAGGCAGGGAAAACAAGACTCCAGGTGAACATAGAGACGACGGAGGTAGGTGATGAAGATAGCCAACCAACAGGGACAATAACAACTAGCACCAATCACCATCAACTGGAGAGGTTTGACAGAAGTTGCCTCCTTCATTCATCTATGCAACCAGCATCGTTTCAACTACAGATGGAACGCATGAATATGTCGAAGTCAGAATCGGAAAGGTAAGATACGCATTCATCACTCCGAAATAAGTTTGGAGATAATCTTATGTACTCAACGAGCATAAAGAACGAAATTCGGATATTCAATGCACTAAGAAGTCATTCAGTTCTTCTACATGCATCCGAAACACGGGGCGTCACCAAAAGCATATAGAACAGGCAATTTCAAACTTTTATCAACAGCTGCCTACATCGCTAGCTCCATATTGAACATTAAATGGTTAGCCAAATAGAATTAGCAACAAGAATCTCTGACAGAGAACGAACCAACAGGCAAAAGTCAACTGTTCAATAAATATTCAGAAGAACTTGGAGGTGTACAGAATACACATTGAGGAAACCGTCAAATGACATCGCTCATTAGGCCATCGCTTTAGTGGAACCCGAATGAGAAACGACGAGTGGGGTGTCACTCTGAGAGTGAAACTGAGGAGGGGATCAAAGACCATGGTCATTTGAGGGACCAACTAAAGAGCCCCACAGGGAATAGGACGTAGTGGAAATGTACTTTTGAAGCCCTATGTTCCACTCGGAACCCAAGGGGACAATGATATATATATATATACGTATATCAGTAATATGTCTTTATATCACATTGCAAGATGAAGTACAACAGTGGAGTCTCGTTGTATTTGTATAGAATAGTGTAGTATGACTGACTACGTCTTTATAATGAGACATAATTAGGAATCTACATGTATGTTTATAAATTCTTACCATAATCAGTTCTTGCACCACAACTTCGTGTTATCTTTATCCATGAATTCCAACCAGTACTTTCTTGATATGTTTTAACACAGAATGTTCCAGGTGAATGAGATAAGAAACTAATACAGTCGATCATTGCATTCAATCTCGTGTCAAAATATCTTCTAGCTGGACATGAATGATCTTCATTACTATCACACTGGTAACATCGTATTGCGGAGATCTCTAAAAGCGCCATCATCAAAGAAAAAGCAAAATTAGAAATTTTATCTATTTGATTAAAACAAAGAGTTAATCTTGTATGCCAATTAATTCTAGATTCCGTCACGGACCAATGTCATTCACAGACATCACCAAAAACCGAAGAGCAGTCGACACGTGTTTCTTCCAGTGTTTGAGACTGTTCAACCGTTCGTACTCATGATCCCACTTGCCAGGAGTTGGACAAGGGACCTAAAGGCTACAAGACCGAACTCGCTGACCATTCAGTGACCCGTGAATTCTTACTCTATAAATTCGTGATAGAGCGCTACTCACAACCAGTGCTTTCAATAAACATCCATTTCTTCCTGACATGATGAACCTCACTAGCTGTGACTTCTCAATACAGTTTAAGGACATCCATCCAGGAGCCATCAATAAATTCGAGGTTGATATTTATATTATGCGTTTTGGTGAGGGGTTAGGTTAATTTCAACTTAGATCGCTGGTAGATTCATGGATAAGCACTGAAGAACAGTACCAAACTAGGACGAAGCAGCTGTGCATTGCTTCCTGGCTTTCAATTATTTCTCTGGTTGATATTGGTACTTGACAGAATTTTAAAAAAATGAAATTTATCCGAATTCCCAAAAAATCCCATAATTTTAGAATATTCCCAGTGTTTAGAAATATAAAAAACGTAATTTCTGATGTAAAACTAGACAGTTTTTATTATGATGCTATTTAGGTTGTTGGAATCCAAGATGTGCATTTTGTCCCACTTAAAACTCCTCACTGGATGTCGTGTGAGAATCTTCAGTGGGTGACTACATCCTCAATGAGACTAGAGCTTAGTACTCAATTGTTTCAAACTCCGATGTGTTATCCACTAAACCGCAAGAGTCAAGTTTTGTGCAACATGTGTCAGTTGCTATTCTGCTAAGCTTACTATGTTGACCTTCAGACATCGTCAATCAAATCGTTCGTATTCACAGCTGAAATATTTTTTCACGGAGACTGAGCATTTCAGTCAAAATCAACAGGGAAAACATAATAATTCAGATAAATGCCTTTGAAATACTTGGAAATTAAATAGAGAGATAGAGAGAGAGAGTTACAGGATTTCATCATAAGCTGACATCGGTTAGAGAACGCTGAAATGATCATGATATCCTGTAACCTTAAAAAGCAATACTTAAATAGAGAAAGTGTTGAATTAAAGTTTCATAAATTTTCATACAATTCTTTCCATTAAGAAACCTAAACAAAGCAAGAATGACAAAGAAATACCAGGATAATATGAACTCATTTTTTATTAATTCGGGTTATCTCAAATGGACACAACCTACTGAACAATATAAAATATAAAGTGTTGGTTTGCAGGGATTTGAATGGTGACAGGTTCGATCACTAGTTGACATCATTTAGAGAAGCACTGGTAAACCAGCAAGGAGTACTGGACAGCTGTTTCGTCTTAATCGAGATCTCTTCATCCGTAGTCACCCACCCCACCCCCAGGACCCTCCGGCTACAAGGTGAGTGAGCTCTTGGACCATTAAGCCACTGCGACCTAATGCAATGACCAGTTCATGAATTCTAACTTCTACTAATTCACGATATATAAGGCACAACGGTAACTTTAGTTCACTTGTCTAAATTTATGAGATCAGACAATGATATCATAAAATCATCCATATAACGTGTTACTCATAAATTATGTATATGATTATTCAAGAGTGTAGATGAACTTAGATAAGCAGCTTGAATTATGTATCATATTAGCCAAATTAATAACTCAATATCGTTTTGGTTTTTGGTAAATCATTACTTCAGGTGAACATAGAGAAAACAGAGGTGGTGATGAAGATTCCTGGCCAACAGCAACAACAAAAGTCAGCATAAATGGGAGAAATCTGAGAGAAGCAACCTCCTTCATCTACCTACCTACCTGGGAAGCATCGTTTCAACTACATGCAGACGGAACTGATGAGGATATCAAAGTGAGGGTCGGGAAAGTAAGGCAAGCTCTCATCACTCTCAAGTCTGTGTGTGGGTCAACAGCACTACTCAGCATGAAAATGAAAATAAGATCCGGATTTTCAACTCCAATGCGAAGTCAGTGTTACTGTATGGATCACAGACTTGGCATGTCATGAAGAGCACTTCAAACAAACTACAAACCTTCATCAACAGCTGCCGTCGCTCAATAATACTCAAGATCAGATGGCCGTTCAGAAAAGATCAGCAACAGAGACGGACCTCTGGGAGTATAAAACCCAGCAGGAAGCAATTGTGCAACAAATATGCGGAAAGAAATGGAGGTGGATTGGCCATACTCTGAGGAAACCATCAAGTGACATCATTAGACAGACCATCTTTTAGGTGAAACCCGATCGAATGAGAAAAGGCGAGTTCGTGATCAGTGCGAGAATGACATGGAGGAGGTCATGTGAAGAGGAGATGAAAGCATGTGGGCAAATGTGGAGCCAGGTGAAAACGTTGGCAGAGGACCGAACGCAATGGAGACGTTCGGCTGGAGCCGTATGTTCCTCTATGAACTAAAGAAAACAAAAATATAGTAATAATACTTGATAACTGTTTCAATCTTGTTTGGGACTCCTTCGCAGTACACATCTATGACCCATCCACTAACCAGGAATGATTGAATACTGGAGCTTCAGGTTACAAAGAGAGCTTCTTGAACATTTGGCCACTAGGATGGAATCCAACTACCCATGAGTTATAACTTCTGTCGTTTCGTGATAAGTATAGCGCAACCGTCAGCCGATGTTATCGACGAGTATCTGCCCTTACACCCAACTTGATGGATTCTGCAGGTCAGGACTTCTCAATATAACTTCAGGCAACTTTATCTACTAGTCAGTCACTACTGAGCACTACATTAATTTAAAACTATCGATTTGCAGGAATTGAAGTGATTTCAACTTCGATTATGAAGTAACCTACGCTGTAAGAGAATAGTGGATTGAAGTCAGTTTTCAAGTGTTTGTTTGAAGGGATTTGATTGGTTGCAGGTTCGATCACGAGTCCACATCAGTTAGATAACTATTGGAAAACCAGCAGGATGTACTGGATAACTGTTTCGTCCTAATTTGGGACTCCTTGTCAGTACGCACCCAATAAGCCTCGAACCCAGGGGTTCACCAAGTCTAGTAAGAGAACAGTCACTCGACTATGACATTGGCTGATGGTTGCGCTAGATATGCCGCAAACTGGCCGATTTTAGGACTCATGGACTGCTCGTTAGATCGGGTCCCAGGGACTGAATGTTCTACAAGCTCAATCGCCTTATAACTGACATGTCTTGGATTCGAAACTCAGCAGGGAGGTGTACTGATGATGAGTCCCAAACTAGGATGAAACAGCCGTCTAATACTCTCCGAAGGTTTTCCAATGGTTCTCTAACTGATTTCAACTCATGATCAAACCTGAAGTCAGTTCATCATCACAAATTAAATGTTATCATTCCTTTTCTCCTGTAGAATCACCATCCTCTATTATAAATCTCCTGACTCAAAGTTCGTTATGACGACACAGGATTGTAGGAAAACAGCCAACAATGTATGATCAATTACCAGTGTACTCTTGTCTGCCCTGCTATGTAAGATTCTTTATCACAGAAGTAATTTAATAACACACATATGCAATTGAACTCAGGAACGATCCCAGCAACTTCGTAGATATTACAATATTTTTGGTTAGAAAATTATTTTCTGGGGAGAAAGTCTCTTGGTCTCTTTAAAATCAAGGAATAATGAAACCAAAGATTAAATACAAAACAAAGTCTTGATAATATAATGAAAAACCAAAAAGTTTTCAAATGCTTGATGTACGTAGTCTTTTTATGCAGCTCAAAATATACAGTTGAAATCAGAAACTGTCCACAAACTCCTGGACTGGAATTCATCGGGAAAATAAGAACTAGCGCAAACATAACGAACTTTAAGTGTCTATAGTTTGGTTTGTAAGGGTTAGTTATGTTTTACGAGTTGATCACGGATTGATATCAGTTAGAGAACCATTGAAAACCAGCACTGGAATACTGGACAGCTGTTTCATCCTAGTTTGGGAATCATCGGCAGTACGCCCCCACTGGGATTCGAATCCAGGACCTTCCGGTCCTGATTTGGGTCACGCTAAATCACGAATTGGTAGAAGTAAGAATTCATGAGCCATTGAATCGGGTCCCAGTGGCTGAATGGTAGACCAGCTTGCCTTTTAACCAGAAGGTCATGGGTTCGAATCCCAGTGGGTGCGTACTGCCGATGATCCCCAAACTAGGATGAAACAGCTGTCCAGTATTCCAGTGCTGGTTTTCAATGGTTCTCTAACTGATATCAAACCGTGATCAACTCGTAGAACTTTAAGTGGACAAAACTTGAAGCAAATTTCGATGCAATATGCTCAAAGCTTGGAGATGGCTGAAAGTTATAAAATCAAAAAGATATAGAAGGCCAGACACTGTACAAACACAGCTTCAGAATTTTAGTCAAATTCAGTTCCTCATAAGTATAAATTAATCAATAGACGAACATACTACATAATGTCTCGAGAGGAAAGTCACTAAACAACATTAGTGCCAGGTAGTTTACAGGGAGTGATAGCGTGAACGACCCGAACTAATTTATGTAATCAAACCATAAAGGAATCCAAGGCTACACCATATAAGATATTTCTAAGGCACCATTTGGATAGTCGGCAAACAGAAGGGATTGAAACAGGAAGATTATTTATGCTGAGTCGCCACAAAGCTCAGGGAAGTACTTCTTGAGACCTGTAATACATACAGTCTGTTTGAAGTGATTTTTGAAACTGTATCTATGCGAAATGCCAAAGACTCGACCAGTTCTAACCTTTTTTCCTAGCACGGGGATGCAATATATCTACCTTTCTGGTTATACAAGAGAAACGCTTAACTGCTGTGATATCCCTACCCGCCATCAGTATGACTTTACACCCATTCCTCCAGTATACATTACATGACTTACACTATGTTGATAACTTCTTCTAGTCTAAACACTATTCAGACGACTTACTTGATATGTTGAGACCTCCAGAAACATTCGTTTCAGCCAATAAAACTGATTGAGTTACTTCTATATGTAGCCTTATCCTTCATGTTGTAGGAGAAGCTATCGGTAACGGTATGCTAGTGATAATCTTTGACAACGGAGATGGCAGAAATAATACTGAACAAAAGTGTTCATAGTAGTGATCAGTGAGTTGGGACATGAAAATTACTGTAATGATGACATTAAAATATATTCATAATTACCTATTAACTCATAATTAGCTTCATAAACAGCAGTGGTTTACGCTGAAAAGTATTTTTCGTATCTAAATAGTTTACAGTTTACAATTTATTTAGGATAGTAGAGTATATGCCTGTGTTAATCCTTTCGATTTGTTACACACAGGAGGTCCAATCTCGCTTTGAATGAATCAACGGATGGCGCTGATACGACGTGTTCCGGTAGGGAGTTCCAATGGTTCACAATCCGATGCGAAAAACGGATCTCCAAACGCAGACGATTCGACCGTGGTTTTTGAACCTTGAGGTGATGTCCTCGCAGTTGGTTGGTACTAGAAGGAAGAAATAAATTAGATAAATTTGCTCCAAAATCATTTCTTAGGATACGGTATGCTAGTATTAGGTCACCCCTAAGTCGTCTGTATGACAGTGGAAATAAACCCAGTCGACTTAACCTCTCTTCATATGAGAGGGTTGAGAAACCCTTTATTAGCTTAGTTCCTACTCTTTGCACTCTTTCTAATAAGTCTATTTCGTATTTGAAACACGGGCTCGCTGCCTGGATCCCATATTCCAAATGAGGTCTGATATAAGTCGGATATAATATACGAAATATTTCAGCGTCAAAATTCGCAAAAGCTTTGCGTATGGCCCATAATATTCGAAAACCCTTAGTGGCTGCAGCTCTACAGTTTGTTGCTGTTTTCAAGTCATGCTGCACAACCACTCCCAAGTCCTTGTACTCAGTGACCACTGGAAGAGTAATGCCATTCATTGAGTAATTGTGCACGTGACTATAGGCCATTCAAATTTCATTCACTCAATTCTAATAAGCTGACAGGCACACATACAAAAGAAGATGGACAAGTGATTTCCTGGGACTATCCTTTTCAAGGTTTCTAAGGCTAATGAAGTTTCGCTGGTATTTGAACTCATGTAAGATCTTCGGTTTCAGAAACATAAGTAAATTAGTAGTAAAGGAAGGTAGAGGTACACAGTGGTGCTTTTCTGCAGGTGTAGATAACATAAATAATCTAGTTATCGTTTCTACTTTAGTTAATAGTGACCATTTCACTCAAAATTAGACCTTGAAATTAAGTTTAGATGCAACCCCATGCTCACTTTAAAGTTTGTCATGTGTATATCGTATCTATTAAGGAGTGAGCTTTAGCTGTGGAGTGATCGGTCAGTAGTGACTCATCCATTGATGATGCCTGGAATAAATTCAACAAAACACTAGGGATGGTCACATCAAAGTTCACTGAAACGAGGATTCCTAGTGAGCCCAAAAATCATCTCTATGGATTAATAGACAAGCCGTAACACTCCTTCAGAAGAGGGAAATGTTGTAATTTCTCTCTATCTCCATTAGGACTCTTAATTTCTTCCTACACTACTATGAAAGCAGAAATTAGTACAGGGACTTGATTTATCAATACACGGAGGGATATGAATCAAAGACAGTTTAGAAATTACAAACGTGTTTGAAGACTCTCCTGTAATGCTAATACAGAAGAACTGCAAATAATACCGTCTTCCCAAATCTTATACCTGATGAAAGCGCTACAAGCATGTCATGCGACAATTTGAAAAATATTGTAAGTCTGTGAAGCTACTTTAGCAAGGTGTTGTCTGAGAGTGGTAATGCAAAGATAGTAGATTTTCCATAATAAGATCTTGAAATAAGATTTCTACGCAATGAGTGAAATATTACTCGTACTAGACTGGATGATGGATGACACTCTGTCGGTAATGCACAACAGGTCACTGGGCCAGTCCAAATCCCTATAAAACCAGAAAGACATTATTGTCAGTTTAAGTTTTAAAAGCAGCATTAAAAATTTCTTTTGGAACTATCCTCCCGTAAGTCTAACCAGTACTTCTGACTAATAGCTGGTGAAAACCACCCGTAATGTTGTTAGTCAACATTTTTAGGTAATAATTTTTTCCCTGAGGGACAGCACCATTTTAGAACAAATCATTCTTGCTGGAGCAAACTTCTCTTGAAGTGGGAATGTTGAACTATAGCAACTGAAGATTATATTCCAGTAAATTCTGTATTCGATGACTTTACCAAAGGCCTTTATTTGGATTCTTATTCTTGTTTTCTGGGAATGTTAGAAGGTTTCTGGGATCAATAATTAGCGAATGTATTTAGACCTGCAAGCTGATTATTGTAAACATAGGTACTTGGAGGGTCAGGTGGGCGGTTATAGTTATACCAACCACAATATGCACAACCCATCAACGAAGGACTTCACTCCACCGAAATCTACAGAGTGTTAAAATAGGGGAGTCACTTCAAATAGTAATCTGAGATCTCATTGAAATATATAACTAAAAGCCTACTTCAGTTAACAAGCTGTAAACTGCCCCTTTGAGTTGAAATTCGCAGTCGCGAATCTGAGAATAAATCAAACTTCCCTAACGACTTTAACAGTTCGGAATTACAGTCTGATAAATATTTTAAATAATTTGTCAAAGATGTCTTAAGATCTACAGAACATATGGGCGAATAAAGCCATACTACTATGCCAAGAAAAGGGTATAAAACAAAATGAGACGGAATATCGCAAGCTTACAACAATTCTTAACTTATTCAAACCTATTCTTCGATAATACCTCTTTATGGTAAATGAAGATTTTATCTACCTACTATATGTTCTGGAATAACGCTTGTCGTGCCTAAAAAGAGAGCTGGGTGCTGAATTAAGTCTTTTCGTTCTGAATTAAGGCTAATACGTGCTCAATATATCCTGTTAGGGCTGTAACAACGCTGATAATTAAACTCAGTAGGTTCTGATCAGAACCTACTATAATGCTGAATTAAATCTCATCAATTCTGAAGTGACTCTAACATTCTACAATGATTAAATTCTGAATATCTCTTGAAATGGTTTGTTTAAGCGCTCAGACTAGAACTCAGTGTTGGTTTTCAGTATGACTGCCACTAATTCATTACCGTGTTCTTTTTCTAGGCATTTTCGGGAGTAGATCATAACCTACTGGGTTTAATTATCAGCGTTGTTACAGCCATCACAGGACATATTGAGCACGGATTAGCCTTAATTCAGTAGGAAAAGACTTAATTCTGCACCCAGCTCTCTTTTCAGGCACGACAGGCGTTATTTCAGAACGTATAGTAGGTAGGTAAAACCTTCATTTACAATAAAGAGGTATTATCGAAGAAAAGGTTAGAATAAATTTAGAATTTTTGTAAGCTTGGGGATGATCTCCTGAAAATACCTAGAAAAGGAACACATTGCTGAATTAGTGCCAGTCATGCTGAAAGCCAGCACTGAGTTCTAGTCTGTGCGCTTAAAAAACCATTTCAAAGCAGATTGAGAATTTACTTATTACAGAATGTTAGAGTTATTTCAGAATCAGTGAGATTTAATTCAGCATTATAGTAAGCTTGGGATGTTCGCAATATTGCGAAAACCAAACGCCGAAAAACTGTCTGAAGGTCAGTAAGAACTTTGGTTAGCTTTACATTAGATAGCTATTGTCTGCTTTTGCTACACAGCCGAAAGTCACGATATATCAATAAATTTGTGAATTCTGTTGAAGTTTCGAAAAACATGACGGAAAGACCATAACTGATTTGTATAATGAAAATTCGTTTTTAGTTGAAGAATCTCCTTTGTTCTGAACTTACCTTTTTCATGAAGAAGTAGTAAAATGCAAACAGCAAATAAAGGTATCAAAGTAAACATATTTAAAATTCCGCCAATCCATTTGGCTTACATCCCCTCAAAGACCTTGAAATAGAGGTATTTAAAACTTTCGGTTTGACGAGCTTACATTACCCTTATGAATTCTTGTCTTTTCTTCGCCGTTGCTCCGAAAGGCTTGATGGTTCTCGGTGATTTCAAGTGTAATCAATCACTTAGGTTGCTAATGCTTGTTGAACAGAATGATAGGAGGTACATCATGATAATTTGGAGCGGGTGTATGCTTTATACTGGAGGAGTGTAGCTATTGAGACTCGATAATTCCGTTTCATCGGACACTCCTCCAGTCAGGGTAACAAACACTAAATAGAATAAAATAGGTCGGTTGAGATGAAATCTTGACAGTGAGTGGTAAGAGGTTTATTACAAGGTTGTGGCGGCCTAAACACATATCAAATTAGATGTTCACGGAAAAATAAGGAATTCAACCTTGAACCTTGAACCGCGCGCAAGGAAGGGATCGGTCGCTCTCTCTCCGGCTGCTCGCTCAGCACATCTGCCGACCAACTCTGCCTCGCACTGGTTGACACATCCCCATCAAGAGCTTTGCTTCTATCTGCTTTACTCAACGCGGAGACTTCCGACGGTTGACAGCTCTAAAGTGTAGTGGAGGATTTTTATAATCAAGGAAAGGACAATTACATTCCTACAATTTCGTACGTCTATAATTTGTGTATTTTGTGACTATTACAGTTTTTCTTTAAATAACCTCAGTCCTTTTTGTGTATATTAACTTAAGTGAACTGAATATCTTATATATACGTATTTGTTAGTACCTGTTCTGTCCTTTTAATTGTGTGTATATACTTACCTAGCTGCTAGGTCCACTACAAGGTGTAAAGCAAGTAATACATCAATAGTGCATATACAAATTACATAGGAATGTTTTTACCAGATCAGATATCTTCTGACTTTTCATTTGGAAGGCCTCAACGAGCTGTGATTTTGTAGGCAGTAAAGCTACCATTGAGTAGCACTGTCTCTAAGCAACAGATATCATTCAGTGACCGTCTTAATAGCAGGCGAGGTGAAAAACTCACTGACTGAGCACACTTCATGAGAACCATTGGTTTAATGCTGTCACTTCAGACACTGCAATCGACTCAGCCCTGCAGCAACTAGTCAAAAAAGAGTGCCAACTGCTCGCCTTTTTATCGAGGTGTCTACAACTAGCAGAAACAAGTACAGCATATTCGGCAGAGAACTTCCAGCGATGCACTATGCTACACGCCAATTCCGACATCCAATGCCGGGTCGTGAATTCGCAGTTTCCACTGACCGCAAACCTCTAACATACTCTCTGACATCAACTTCAAACAAGCATTCTCCAAGGGAATCACGATAAATGGACTATGTTTCACAGTTTACGTAAGATATTCACCGTGTATCCGAGGGAACAGCGATGTGGCAAATGCC